CTTTCCCTCTCTCTGTCTCTCTCTGGTCAAATTAAAATAAATGAATGAATAAATAAAATTAAATAAATAATTATAGTTTAAAAAAAAATTGAAGCCAGCAAATGGTGTGGAGATTGAGGTGCTGAACTCCCACATGATCAAACACGATTCAAATCCTGGATCTGGTGGCTTGCTTTCTCACTTTCCTTCTCTCTCTCTGTCTCTAGTCAATTTGAAAAATGATAGTAAATAAGGGACCAGCAGTTGGCAGAATGGCTATGTCTTTAGACTCCCATGTAGTCTACCACGGTTCGAGTCCCCGACCCAGTGGCTTAAACTCACACCGGGCTTGTGTGCGTGCGTACCCAAGATCCCAAGAGGAGACGGAGGAGAAGGGATTGCAGTGTGACCATCCCCCCTGGGGGGGTGATTTCGCGCTTTCTGTCTCTCTGTCTTTCTGGCGAGTGCACGTGCCCTATAGTAAAAAAAAAAAAAAACTTCTCCAAAAAAAACCAAAAATGGATAAATGAATACAAAAAATAAGTAAAGTTAAATAAAACAATTAAAAGAAAGAAAGAGGCGAAGTTGTCTTAAAATGTCTGGTGCTCAGAGGAAAGATTGGGTAGCCTAGAGAAGGCAAGCTTCCTCAGAGCTCAGAAGAAGGCTGCTGAGACTAAACGAAACAATTTTTTATGAAGGTATTTCAGATAAAGATAATGACCTTACCAACACAGCAGCAGTTTCTGTATTAGGCTGTGTTATTATCATGAAACTGTAGGAGTACCCTGAAGTGTAAAAGCAATGGAGCAGCAGTTGCTTCCCTGAGAAACAAGTATAGCTTTTTCCAGAAAAAGCTGACCTGTGTGTTGATGCCAACAAGTTCAGCCCTACTTCTTGGGCTTCTGTTCTCCCTGACAACATTAGTTATCCCTCAAATTCTATGATGTCCAGCCCTTCTTAAAAATCTGGCAGGCAATAAACTGTCACTAGAAAAAATTTCTTCACCCACTTACTATATTCAGATGCTTAATGGGAGAACAGTACCTTAAAAGTATACAGTCTTGGGGCCAGCAAGGTGGCATGGTGGTTAAGGAGTTGGACACTCACATGGCTGAATGCAATTGAGTCCCAGACCTGGAGGCTTGAAACTCACACTGGATGTGTGTGCATGTATTCCCCAAATCCTACGAGGAGAATGGAGAAGGGCTTGTAGCATGGCCATCCCTTGGTGGGGTGATTTCTCACTTAACCTCTCTGTCTCTCTCTGGTGAATGCATGCACCCTATGGCAAAAATCTTTAAAAAAAA